ATTCAAAACACATCATTTATAAGCAATGCCATCTCTTTAATATTTTTCTATCAAATAAAAATTAAATAGATTTTATAATAATTTGTGCTATAAACGATGTGTTTTTATTTTCTAAAATTAAGAATTTTGATCCATAATTTTTTGTGCTAAAATTAAAACTTATATCATCATCCCGCACCGAGCTATTCTACACTATTATAGAATTTTAATTTGTTCCTATTAATAATGAATATATAATTTTTTCTTCTTAAATTTAGCTCATAAAATTATTATTATCTTAATGTTCATCATATTTTTTTTAAAAATAAAAAATTATAATTTATAGTGCTCCCTCTAACTCAATTTCCTGGCTCCGCCACCGATCTAAACGATAGATACATCTTAGTATGTGAAGTGATTAATCATATGTAATATGATGTCAAAACATAAAAGAACTTACTATTTAACAATTTAAAAGATAACTCAAGCAGTAAATCTAAATTTTGGAGGTTTTTTAGAGTATCATTGTTATGCAGATTTTTTCTCCTATAAATTGTGACTATTTAAAATAATATATAAAGTGAAATATAATTTCATATATATAATCACTATAAAATTTAAACGATAAATTCATAATATAGAATTGGTATTTGATACAAAATAATGCACGAAAAAATAAGAAAAAAAAATAAAAATAAAGGCAATTTAACATTAAAAAAATCCTAACACTATTGAAAGAATTAAGAAGAAAAACATGAAATGCAAAATTAATATTGGATTTGTGAATTATCTAATTTATGATGAAAAATATATGAAAAATAAATATTTATCAAATATAGTCCATATAAAATATGTAAAGTTAGTATAATTTAAATTAAATTTGAATCTATATAAAACTTCATATGCAATTAAGAAAATATATGTTGATATGACTTTCTTATAAAAAAAAGTAAACCCTTATTATGTACAATCTAAATATAGAAAAAAAATACTACTTTTCATAATATATGTATGATTGGGGTATATTATTACAGGCCTCAAAAAACTTATCGATATAGGCCAGGCAGTTTCATGAGGCCCACAACATTCTATGGGGCTAGGCAGCTTCCCAAGATGAAGGCTTTTACCAAATGCGAGTGCTTTTAAATTATATTTCTCAAATTCATATTTTCAAAAAAAAAAATAAAAAAATACTTGCATTTTGTAAAGAATAAAACTATACGCATCAATTGATATATCAATTAATGTACTAACAGATAATATAACATAATTTCAGACGTTTTGAATTTTTATAATTTGTATAACGGATAGAGTTCATAATTTTAAAGTGATAATAGTGTAACATATGTTGATATATTAATTAATACCAATTAATGTATGTATCACCACTATTATGTAAATATGTTTAAAACAACATATGGTCAAAAAAAAATAAATTTAAACGGGAACTACTTTTGATTAAAAAAAACTATCTCAAGATTTGTACCAAAAAAACTTTCTCAAGATATGCCCAAATCTACTAAAATGACGATTTTAAGTTCAAACTCAAAAACGATCCAACAATATCAAGCATAGAAATGGTGTATACGAGTTCAATTTTTCTGCTATAATTTTCTTGCAATATTCAGTAAGATATGTCAACAAAATATATAATTTAATAGTTTAAGTTTAAAATGAAATAAAATAATATTAAAATTACATACCTGTAAAGCAGTGTGATTTTTGCTTCAACTTTTTAAACATAAAATATTGGATCATCAGAAAAAGATCATTACAAAGAATCTTGATCTAGTATATACAGTATCTAGAGCCTCTTTTAGCTCCATGCCATTACCATCCAACAACTCAAAGACAACGTAGAAAAGGCATAGAGGAGAGGATGTTTGAAAGGTCTAAAAAAAGAAATTAACATATGCCTCCAAAACCCAACCAAAAAACCCCATCTTCTTCAAAGCCCAACGGCTCTCAAAGCACCACCCTTCCTTTTTATTCCCACCAAAGAGGCCCTTCCAAATGCTACAATTTGAGCTAACCTCATGGACTTTCTTTTACAACCTTTTCTCACTAACAAGAGTCTATTTTTTCTTTTGCCTCTTTCTTCACATCCAACACCAACCCACACTTCTAAGATTTGCAATCTAACTTTTCTTCATTGGATCTTGCATAACAGTGCCCGATCCCTTTTTAAGTTGTTAATTATATGTTAATTATTTGTAAAAAAATAATAAAATTGATTTGATAATAATATTTATATAATTTCAAAATATTTATCTTTATCTTTAGAAAAATTTGCAACATGTATGCCTTTAAAAATATATCATCTTTTTTCATAATAGAAAAATAATAAAATCATTCAATCTAAATATATATATATATATATATATATATATTTCAACGTAAATGTTCAAATATAAACATTATTAATTATCAAAATAGGACCATGGTGAGCACACAAGAGGTGAACTCGACTGGATTCTCTTCAATTTTTTAAGAGGATTGGATGGTCCAGCTCGGGATAGTGAGTCCATCGCAAGTTCCACTTTGATAATCTGATTCGTTAATTTTCTAAACTTTCAAGTGTACATTATTCTTTATAAAAAATAAAAATAAAAATTAATCGAATAATTGTAGCCAAATCATTTAATCGCATTTGTTTTGAAAACAAAAGTAATGAAATCATATACTTAAAATTATCAAATTAATTTTTTTTTTCCTTTTTATGAATGATTTAATATTGAGACCTAAACTCTACCCTAGCCCAAAAATTTATAGATAGTTTATGTACCTAGATTAAAAATTAGAAATTGTCGCATAATTTCAAGGTATTTAAAGTTGTTACTGTGGGGTCACACTATGAATGAATCTTGATCTTCTATTTATTATTTATTGATTGTGAATAGCTTCAAATCACACCTATCTTCCTATATATAGTCTCATCACCGTTTCATAATAAACCATTCTTAAAACACTCTATGCACCAAATCTCAGCCACCATTGTCAATTCCTCCTATAAAATGAGTAAGCAGAGCAAAGACTCCCATGCCAGTCATTCCTCCTCCATTGCTCTTCTTCAAGAGAGGTTCAAACGATTGCAGAAAGCCAAGGAGATGCGAGAAGAGAAAGAACTCTCCAAAAAACTCACTGAATCCCAACTTGTCGATTCAAACAACCCATCCAGATTGTTTTTCCACTCTGAATTAATCGTTCCACCGAGGCCGCCTCTTCAAGCTTCTTCCCCCTCTACCCAGAGCAAGAATGCTGATTTCCGGGCAATTCATGAGACTCCAACTTGGGAAAACTTACAGTTGCACAGACCAACTAACTTTGAGGACTCGGATATTGATACTTCTCTTCGTCTGTAAAAACAAATAAATTTACGCGAATGGTAAAACTTCCAATTATGAGATTGTGGGTTTGCTGTGTTTGTGATGTGTCTGATTGCAGAGAAAATAAAGGGAAAGAATTGAATCTTGACGAGGCTTTTTTAATTGAGTGTACCTTTTGCAAATACTGTTTCTTGTTTCTTGGCATGGATAGAGAAAATCATTGTATGAATAATCATGGTTGTAAAAAGTAAAACGAAAAATTTAATTTTTAACCATTTTTATTCTTCTGCTACTTGGACATATCAAACACTTCGATTGAAAAGGAAAAAATTATTTCAGATGTATTAATTTTACAAATTCTTAAAATTGTAAAAATAAAAAATAAAAAATAAAAAATAAATGCAAGGTCTGAACCCAACCCTACTGTTGAACTATTAGGTTTGTTTATCAAATAGGTCAAGCTTGAAAATAATCATTGAGCTCCACGCAACTCAAATCAATTATTACTATATTTTGTATACTTTATATATTATATAAATATAAATGTACATATATATAATTTATTTTTATTTAAAATAAGAGTATTATTTAGGCCCAAAATTAGATACACTTTTCAAGTCTAATGACGTGACAATATTCTTTTATATCTTCTCTAATCATTAGTCAATCATATCATTTACATATCGTTAATTTAGAAAATGATTTTATAAAGTGAGTTCATATATCATTTTTTTTTTTAAATAAAGGAAATAGAAAAATGCACACACACCAAACTTTAAGCCTAGTTTGTGTCAAGTAACCATGTACCCGTGAGTTTAATAGGTGAGCTTTAGATTGTAATATAATTTTAAGGTTGGGCTTAAGAAAAAACCTTTAATTTATTTAAGCCCGAGATTGGGCCTGGCTGGACCGGGGATGCACATAAGATTTCTTTCCTTTTTCAGGCCCAGCCCATAAGAAGGGCGAGAACTAGGCGGCATGCTGTTTTTTCGGTTAAAAAACCATTTGGCGGGATATCTCTCTCTTCAGCTCCATATAAAGCCATGCCCATGGCTCTCTCTCTCTCTCTCTCTCTCTCTCTGTGATTACATATATATTGTGAATTCACAGTGAATGAATTTGAAGTATCAAAATGTTTGATAATTGAGGTTGAATTGAGTTGGGTTGATCATATTTGCATTCATATGTGGTTATTAGGTAAGGAAATTGGTATTTATTCGTGAATCTATGATTAGTAAAATTATGCTATGAATTGTTGATTAATTATTGTCTGTTTTGAGTGCCATATTTGTCATTGGAAATTTGTCAGACACCTGGTGGGTGTCTAAGGTTCTATGTATATATAGAATTACATTTGATTAATTGATCCAGGGTTTGGGTTGTGGTGCTTCCCTCTTTTGTTCATACCTGTAAATACAATGTGTAGAGTGTTTGTTTTCTCCCTTTCACGCAATATGAATAGGACTAGGATGATTTCGCAAAAAGAAAAATGTTAATGGAAACAGTAGGCTGATGAATCGAGTGTGTCGATGAACCCTCCTGCATCTCTTTGCTTTATTGAATAATGCTTTCCCACACCAAAAGTCTCATAAAAATAAACAATAAACACAAAAAAAAAAAAAAGAAAAAAAAAAGGTATCAGTATTTGATAAAATAAAAAAAATAAAAAACAAGGCCAATGTGAAATGGGTTTTATTGCAAACATTTTATTATACATATATAAGATGGCTACAATACCAAAATTTTACATAAACTAGGTTCAACAAAAGTGGTACATAATTGCAGTAGATCCTGCATAGAATGTAAACTGACCTATGACTTGGTTTCCCATGACCAGTAGTCTAAAATAATAGAACAATTAAATAAAAAAAGGATATTCAATCCTCTGGTGCAAAATGCATCTGGGATGCTAAGCACTGCAATATTTCTGTCGTCATCATCGAAGTTTAGGCCAAAAAAGGTCTCACTCAAAATTAGAACTTGACCTTGTCTGTACTCTGCAACAAGCTTCGCGAACGAGAATGACTTATTTTCAGGCAACTTTGTTGGAGAATCAAATTCCTTCATAAGTCCTGCACCATAACAAAAGAACAAAAATAAGAATGGTGAAAAATTACGAAGATCTCAAAGAAGAGTCTTTTTTTAGTGATAGAGGAATAGGGTTTATACGAACCGTGATCTACCAGTAGAACCATGTCACTATCAACCACAGATGTTATGCAATGGTTAACACTGTACAATCCGTGAAGTGTTGCTTAAGCGTTTGCTGAATAAGATTGCCAGTCGCTGTATCAACTGACGCCGTAGCTTCATCAAGCACCAAGACCTTGCTCTTCTTGAGTAGCACCCGGCCGAGACAAACCAGCTGCCTCTGACCCATACTTCAATTCTCCCCATTCTCTGTAACTGTAAAAATTACGACACTAGGAGGTAAGAACTTGTCTGCCATATAAGTTAAAGATATATATATATATATATTTAAATTTATGATAACTGTGTGAGAATTGTTAGGATCAAACACACACAGAGAATTATCTCACACACACAGAGAACACAATATTTACGTGGTTCGGCCCAATGCCTACATCCACGGACAGAAATGAGAATTATCACTAAAATTGAGCAAAAATACAAATACAGAGGAGGAGATAAAACTCACTCAACTCACAGCTCTCATACTCAATTTCTGATGTCTCTTGGTTCTGCCTATCTTTCAACTCTCCCCTCAACCTCTATTTATACACCAATGAGGGAGAGCCTCATTGGTCACCACCTACCCTCTTCCACTCTCTAGTGGGGTTGGTAGAGTGGGAGAGCCACTTCCATTGGGTGGAGAAAGTGGGTTCTCCAATGGGAGCTCACATGGGATGATCCAACAAGAATAGTGGATGAAAAACCTGCTGAATCAAGCTTGCCTTCCTTCTTCCTGACTGCATCTCCAAGTTGGCATTTATCAAGAGCCTAAAGCAATGAAATAGATACTTTCAATGTAATCCAAACAAGAATTCAAATATACAGGAGAGAAAAAATTCCCTTTATCTTAGTGCCGAACAGCGAAAACATTTAGAGGAAAACAACCCACCTCCCGAAGCTGTTCATTTGTGTGCTCTTCAAGTGGGTCCAGGTTGCTTCGCACTGTCCCCTCAAACATGGTCGGATCCAGAGGAATGATGCTTAATCTAGATCGTAAATCGTTTGGTAGCAAATCGGATAAAAAAATCTAAACTTTAATTTAAATACTTAACTAGTTACAATCGAGATGAGTAGAAATAAAATAAAATAAAAAAACACATAAAAAAATGCAAGAAACAATTATTTACGAATTAAGAAAATATTGAGACGCTCATATCTACTAATTTAATATGCAAAATTTAGTGTGTTTTTCTATGCATGCCATGTTCATTAATAATAATTATGTTTCTAATATAAAAAAACCATAAATTTTGATCAAGTTAAACGTGAATAAGCTATAAAAACACCTAAAAAATATATCTCTCTAAGACAAATTAAACATTTTCAAAAACCTTCACTTGTACAATCGGTTGAATCTATTGGATAATAAAACTCTTGGTAAATAACTGTCATGGTCATGGATAAAAATAATTAAGATATAAACATTTAAGATAATAGTAATAAAAACACATTTAAAAAAAAAAAAAAAAAAAAAAAGGCTAACCTTGTAATTTTTGTGAGAAGCTTGATGGGAATTTATAAAAATATAAACATTAAGAGTATGGAAACAATTATTTACGAATTAGAAAAACACATATTTAGTAGGGACAAAAGTCCCACTTATGCAAAATCTATTGTGTTTTTCTAAACATGTCATGATCATTAATAATAATTATGTTTTAAAAAAAAAGAATATAATGAAATTCAATAATTTATCAACATTAAAAGATGAAACCCAAAATTCTAAAGTTCACCATTTATCACCTGGAGAGTTCAAACTAATATTGAAATTTATGCATAAAAAACATCATAAAAAAAAAAATCACCAAACAGCCATCACAATGAACTAATAAATTTGAATACACGCAAATTTGATGAAGGCAACTAAAGCAATACACAAAATACCATCAGTGTACGGGAAAGAAATACACCTTCTCGTATAATCCTGTTGACTAAGTCTGTGCTCCTCCGTACGACGTCGCTTTAACACCTGAAAACACAAACGTGAGCTAGCCGGCGGGTGTGTGCCGGAAACCTCTCCGATGCCTAAGTCAGTAAGCTTGACAAATAGACAAAAGCTCTGCGTAGAAAGCAAAGTTGTGTGTTACCTCCTCCAAGGTGATGTTTGTGAGTTTTTATAGGTTTCGTGTGGCACAATCCTAGTAGGACTCATACTCCTCCATACAGAGTCCTCCTAGGATTCATATTCCTGAAAGATAATGCTTATCTTTCAACACCCCCTCACTGTTTAAACCAAGTGAGATGGTTTTTACCATGGCCAAACTACCATATGACCGAAATAAAACTGGCTATGCTGAGCCGCAGAGTAGGCCGAACTATCCTTAGTTCGGATCTTCTTTTTACTCCTTATCTCGGTTTTCTCATGTACAACCCATGGCGTGTTCAGACCGAGCTACCGAGTAGCAAAGCTCTGACCGATCTATCCAGAATAAGTCATGACCGGACTAACTCTGAGACCGGCCTAACTCCAAGTTGCCTCCGGACCGGAGTAACTTTAGATCATCTTGGGCCGGAGTAACTTTATCTTTCTTGAGTCGGAGTAACTATATCTCTCTTAGGCCGGAGTAACATTACGGCCTTTTTACCCAGTCCTTCTTACTTTGGGCCACAAAGTCCATCTCACAGCTCGGCCCAATTTTCACCAAAAATTACCCTCTCAATTGCCCTTTAATTCCATCTGCACAGCATGATTGAGATTACCAGTCTACCAGCCGAGCTGAAGTTTTTTAAGCCTTTGCAGCCGAGCTAAAAACCCTTTAGCCTCTCCAGCCGAGCTAATTTCACTCCGGGTTCTGTTTGTTCGGTCAAAACGTCCCTTCAGTCACAGCGACTGAAACGCTTCCCTTTCCAATGACACGTGGCAGGTTCTAATAGGCTGGGGACGGCTGTCACGCCGTCTTCGTATTTTGTGAAATTTGAACAGTCCCACCCTTTTTGCCTGTCGTCTTTTTCACAAAACAACCCCCCTGTTTTTGAATCATTCATCTATACTATTCTTCTTCTCTCTCTGTGCCTCTACTTCTTCAACTATCAAGCTCGTGCTCTTTATTGCTGCGACTGTTTCTATCTCTAGTTCCCTCTTCTTCAATCTGGTAAGCAAATCCATTTCTCTTCCTCTGTTTTGTTTTTCTTCTTTCTGCTTTCTACGTTTTTGTAAAACATGCTTGTTCATTTTTTGTTTTTGCTTCTGTATTTTCATGGGAAAATCAGTAGAACCTATGAGTATATGTTATATATCCTATAGAAAACTTGATTTTGATCCAGAATCATGTCCCAACCGAACTAGGAAACTGTTTTTCCTACATAGGTACATCACTTCAGCTAATAACCGAACTAGAACTCGTAGAAATAACAGCAGCTTCCAAAAAATAACCAACTTCTGATTCACTTTAGCCGAAATAAGATCATCGAACGAAGTTTGAACACATTAAACTAGGAACCTCAGTCTTCAACCGAGCTAAGCCTTCGGGGCTAAGCCAGCTTTCTTAGTTTCTAAACCAAACTAAGAAAGCTGCCCCTAGAGGCTCAACCGAAGTAACAAAACCCACAGTTCAAACCGAGATAACCAACCTTATACAAAAACCGATCTTGCGTACCCTATGTTCAATCCGAACTACTAAGTATTTTGCTGAGATAGAACCTGTCCACTAAGCCGAAGTAGGGCTCTTTTACCTTGCTTTTAATTTGTAGCACGGTCCAATGATCTGTGCTTAACCCCTTTGTTTTCTACTTTGCAAACCTAGGTTACCCAGGCACTCCTTCGTGCGCTCAACCGAGCTACTGAGCACAATTTTTGCACCGATATAACTTATTCGTAAATTATACAACAAATGGGTAAGTATAGGTATCTAGTAAATACTCCGGGCGGCCTAGCCGAATTCAGAAAAGACTACAATATACCCGATGACGTCCACTTGATCTTAGCCGAAAAAGATGTCATTCCATGGGGTAATGAAGGCTTTGTTCCCTTCACCCTTTTGTCAATTATTGAAACCGGACTACGATTTCCAGTCCAACCCTTGATTTGTGAGTTTCTTAGGCAAACTAGACTATGCCCAACCCAACTATCCACCAATTCATACCGCATAATAATGGGAATATGGGAATAACCGAACTGAACCGCCAAGCCGGACTAAACCTTGGCCTTGCCGAAATCTTCCACCAATATTCCATCGGTTCAAAAGAAGATGGGTGGGTCTATTATCTTAGAATACGTCGCCGCCGAGAGAAGATAATAAAATATACACCGGACAAAGACTTAAATGACGACGATTTTTTCTGGGTGTCTGGGAACTTTGAGGACCATCAAGCCCAGATTCCTGGCCGACCTATAAATTGGAAAAAAGGAGAGCCCAGTAAATTTACTTCGGTCTTCTTGCTTGTATTTGTTTATATTTCGGTTTGTTAGTCTATCAGCTGAACTAACAATTCTTCTTTCGCAGATTCTGCCCACCTTCATTCCTTATACAGCTACCCAAACCTTGCGACTTTGCGCGCCGCACTACGGTGTCCAGAACGTAGTTGGGCTAGGTTGTTAAAGTTTGAGCCGACCTACAGATACAGCGGTCGCCGCAAGGCAAGAGTAACCGACTTTCTTCTTGAGGAGGCCCCAGAACCGGACCCAACCTTACCCGAGATCCGACTAATTCCACTAACTGCTGAAGAAGAGATGGCTAAAAAGAACAGAGTAAGGGCGCTACTAACCGAAACCACCAGGGCCGAAATACCACCATCAAGTCAAACCCAAGAAGCGGTGGTGGCCCTTCCTACTCAACAACCGTCCTCATCCCGCCGAACCAAGCGCACCCGGACTACCGAAACTGAACAAAGCTTGGTTGATGAAGACGAAACTGCTCTTCCACCGAGCCTGCCACCGAGCCCCCAACCGGAGCCTACCAACGAAACTACCACAAGCTAGGCACCAAAGCTTACATTCAACGACCGAGATATCCAAGATTCTGATTCGGTTGTTGCTGACAAGGATCACCACTTGGCCTTCAACCTGGCTAAGGGTGTGTGCCTCCCAAAAGATATGGAGCACCACCAAAAGCAATTAAACACCGAACTGAAGGCCATCCGGTCTTCAACAAAGTCCATGATCTTGGTAAGTAGCCCTGTCCGTTTTTGTGTCTAGTTTTTTCGACATTTACCTCGGCTCTTTCTCCACTTTTACTTCGGCTCAAGGGAGGTCTTTGTTTTGTCAGACTATTCAGAAAAACCATATCACTCACAGGAAGGTGCTAGAGCTCAGGAAAACAACAAGGCAAGCTGTGGCGGAAGCCGAAGTGAAGACGGCCGAGCTAGAGGAGGCCAGGAAGCAAATGACCGAACTACAAGCTGAGAACGGCCGCCTGGCCGGACTGGTCAGTTCGGCCGAAGCAGAAAAGCAGAAGGCCGCCATCGCTTTAGAAGATAAGTATTTGCGCGAGTTGGTGAAGCTTGAAAAGAAAAAAGATACCGAAATAACCTAACTGAATGAGAGCACAAAGGGAGCCGAAAAGCAAGGCTACAAGAAGGCAGAGGATGCTTATGTCAAGCAGTGCGAAGCTGCCAAGGAGCTATTCTTCAAGTGCGGCTGGAGGGAAGCTGTTGAGAAGCTCGGTCACGATCCACAGACCGAGGTTTTCAACCCTCCAGCCTACTTCATACCGAACTCCCTTGTGGAGTATGCTAATGCCATGCAACAACAATTCCTTGAAGGCTCAGATTCTGACGAAGACTCTGCTTCTGAGGATACTCCGGTTGTCAGTGCGGACCAGTCAGTTCGGTTGGAGC